CGCACTGGCACCTAGAGCAGCAGCCTCACAAGCACCTAGCGCAGCAGTACCAATGCCCGGGTCGGGCTGGAAACAACGGTAACCCTCATTCTCCTCACTATAATCCACAACATACATAGCAGTAAGGATAGCATCAAAATCAAGATCAAAGATCGCTACACCAGCCCTGAGAAGCTCATCCCAGCGAGGGATCTCACTAGCCCCAGGGAACTGCTGACGCCAGGCGTCCGTCAGGCGGCCAAAGCAGCGCAGGGTGGCGTGGGCACCCCCACACTGCTCACCCGCGCGGTCGCCGGAACGAAGAACGTAGGTGCAGGGACCAGTACCCCCACCCCTCTGACGCCCAGCGTACCACTCACGAAGCTGCTGAGGCGAAGGGATGTCCCGCGAGCGCTGCTGCTGCTGCCGGTGCGAGCGCTGGCCACCACCACCGCCGCTACGCTGCTGGGTACCACCCCGACCAGCTCCACCTCCTCCACCACCACTGCCTCCTCCGCTGCCGCCTCCACCGCCTCCACCTCCGCCGCCTCCACCTCCGCCGCTGCCTCCACCACCACCGCTGGCACCACCACCACCGTCTCCGCCGCTGCTGCCACCACCACCACCACCACCCCCGCCACTAGTCCCGCCGCCACCCCCACTCCCTCCGCCGCCACCGCCGCCACCGCCACCGCCCCCTCCAGCTCCACCCGCGCCCTTGCCCCCCTTGCCCTTGCTGGAGCGACGTCTCCCACTAGGGGCAGACTCCGCGCCGACCGACTCAAGACCAAGCAGGTCGGCAGCAGCAGCAGAGGCAACAGAGGGCAGCAAGGGGGAAGGAGAGCACCCCTCAAAGATGGGGGTGCGAGGGTCACCACGAGAAGCACCTACAGCGACTATGCCCTTCTCCGCTGCAAGGAGGGCCTTCTCGAGGAGGTCGACGGTGAGGGTGGTGGGACAGACTGCGAGAAAGTGGTCCCTGACGACGCGAAGGGTGTCAGGGAGGCGCGCGACTACGTAGTAGAGAGCGATGTACATGGGGGGGGGGTTCTTAGCGCAGAACTCAGCAGGAAGGGCGGCGCGGTAGCGAGTGTCACTAGTGCGGAGGTGCGTAATGAGGTCAGCGACAGTGGGAAAGGCAGAGAGGTCAGGAAAGAGGTAGGGAAGCATGAGACGGCTCAGTGCAGCAGTGGCAGGGGAGGAGTAGCGCGCAACTACAGTGTCGTACAAGGTCTGAGCACTCTTGTACTGACTAAAGTGCGCACGCTCAGAGGTAGGGAGGTGGCGACGCACAGCAAGACGTGCAGCAGCATCGCGGGTGGCCCACTTAGAGCGGACAGCGGGATCAGCATCAGCAGAAGGAGCAGGAGAGGCGCCAGAGGTGAGATCAAAGAGAGAAAGGTCGTCAGCCCTGTCGCACTGTAAGAACAGCTGCAGGTCATCTAACCAGACCTCAAAATCAATGGCGCGACCCTCAGCGTCAAAAGCTAGGACACTGGGGGTAGCCATGGCGACGACAGCGACGCAGTGCAAGCAGCAGGGAAAGAGCTCGCAGCGGCAGTGGGACTGTGCTCACCAGGCAGGGCAGGTCGAGTAGGTATGCAGAAAGGCGGCTCAGCGACCTGGCGGCTCAGGTGCTGGGCGGCTCGGGCGCAGGGCGGCTCGGCTCCCGGGCGGCTCGGCTCCCGGGCGGCTCGGCTCCCGGGCGGCTCGGCGGCTGGGCGGCTCGGGTCCCGGGCGGCTCGGCGGCAGGGCGGCTCCGGTCCCGGGCGGCTCGGCGTCGGGCGGCTCGGCTCACGGGCGGTTCGGCTGCTGGGGCGGCTCGGCCAGGAGATCCAGGGGCGGGGCCGTCAGGTGCAGCGGCGGGTTGACCGGTGCAGTGGCGGGCCGGCAGGTGCAGCGGCGGGCCGGCAGGTGCAGCGGCGGGCCGGCAGGTGCAGTGGCGGGCCGGCAGGTGCAGCGGCGGGCCGGCAGGTGCAGCGGCGGGCCGGCAGGTGCAGTGGCGGGCCGGCAGGTGCAGGCGGCGGGCCGTAGGGTGCAGTGGCGGGCCGGCAGGTGCAGCGGCGAGGCCGTCAGAGGCGGCGGGCCGGCAGGTGCAGCGGCGAGGCCGTCAGAGGCGGCGGGCCGCTGGGTGCAGCGGCGGGCCGGCAGGTACAGTGGCGGGCCGGCAGGAGCAGCGGCGGGCCGGCAGGGGAGGCGGTGGAGCCGAGTTAGGGGAGGCGGCAGGGCCTGCGTCAGGGGAGGCGGCGGAGCCGCGTCAGGGGAGGCGGCAGGGCCGCGTCAGGGAAAGCGGCGGGGCCGCGTCAAACAGGCCGCGGGGCCGCGTCAGGGGAGGCGGCGGAGCCGCTTCAGGGGAGGCGGCAGGGCCGCGTCAGGGGAGGCGGCGTGGCCGCGTCAAACAGGCGGCGGGGCCGCGATCAGGAGAGGTGGCGGGGCCGCGTCTGAGGGACAGCGGGGCCGCGAGGGAAAGGGCGACCCGAGGGGTCGCTAAAAAAAAAGGCGCGCCTCGGGGCGCGCTTCGGTGGGCCCTAAAAAAAACGGTCCTAAGGTAGGACCCGCTCTATACCATGTGAAATAAGGTAAACAGGAATGAAATGACGATGGAAGATTGGGTACAAATACAACCCTAGAAACCCTGTACCCCATATGTGCTACCCCACTATAGCCTACAGAAACTATGTCATATAAATCTGACAAGGAGTAAGGGGTCTGTCAAAACTGGAGGCGGCGGAAGGGACGACCACAAAATATATGATCCCACGAAAGCGCGTCGGATAGGGAGAGAAATGGGCGGAGGGGAGGAAAGGAGGGGAAAGTTTACCTCGGGGATTCTGTACAATGGCGTGCTTCTTCCAAGGCGGGTTTGTTCTCCTTAGCTTTGCAATGACGAATCGGCCTCAAGCGGGAAGGACCTACAGCATTTAGGCAACGTAGTTAGGAGGTTTTCGAAAAGCAAGGGGGCAGAAACATAGTCTCAGCACAAGACATAGGAACGTCTCAGAGAAGAGAATCTGCAAAGTCACAGGTGAATTCGATGACAAGAATGGCTACGTGTAAACGGGAAAGCGACGCTGGCCTTGCCTATCCTCGTGGCTTCATGCGACGTGATCTTGCAGAACGAGGGAAGGCCCAAACGTAGGAGCAACAGGAGGAGAAGAGAAGCAGAGTGGAGATGGCAAGGACTAGAAATGGAACGAGGTAAGAATGGTGCGTGAGGTTGCTCAACTGGAAGCTGGTGGACGATCGGCGGAAGAATGAAGGCGACTTTGAACCGCGAGATATGCTGTCATGGAGAGAATACGAAGGATGAATTTCGATCGGATGAGGCGAGGGGCCCTACGGAATAAAACGATGTGAAATGAAACACAGCTGAGGAGCCGAGTGCGCGCGGTGCCTGACGGGATGCTGGGAGTCGCATCCTACCTTTCGACGCGACTCGCTGTGATCACAAGGCGGAAGGAAGGCGTGACCGTTGTCAGTCATAGCCGTGCTGCGACCCGTGAACGTTTGTACCGTATGGCCCCGGATATAGGCGCCGTCCGATTAAAGGCGCCGGCGCTTCTATCTGGAGCATGGCGCCTATGGCCGGAATTCGATTATAAGCGCCCCCCCTAGAAAACCTTTACTTATTTTAAGCGCATATGCGATTTGAATTTAAATTCTTGCCTAAAACAGTAACGAAATCCATTTTTGCAGCGAGTCATATTTCAATTTCGCTTCGTTCGACTCGTGAAGACCTGACTGGCTGCGCGTCCAGTCAGGATGTGCTGGAATGACGTGGCTTTGCCTGTGTGTGAACCCAGAATATCGCTTGTGCGAGATTCTGCATTGTGACGCTAGAACATTTCGACTCGGTTGAAATGGCAAGAAGAAAATGAACAATTTGGTGCTCTAAAATTATAATTTCGTATTTGTCATTATATAAGTGCCGGCGCTTATGGCCGTTACTCAATTACAAGCGCCCCCCCTCAAAAAAATGATTTTATTATAAGCGCATATGCGCCTATATCCGGGGCCATACGGTAGTACAGCATTGGCAACGGCCTGGACTGTGGCATCCATGCGGCGCGTGGCGAAATTGGACCTCCAATCATCGCAAAATTGCATCTAAAATGCCTCATCCTCGTCCTTTTTCGTTAATCAGTTCCGATTTGTGCAGGCCGTGGACGGTCGGCTCCATATAATGTATTTGTGCCTGCCCATGGGTGGCAACTTTGCAACGAGGAAACGGCGGGGATGTCGAAAGCTGGTTGGCTACTTTCTTGCTCTGATGTCACATTGGGAATGAAAATTGTCGATCGCTAAAAAATGGACAACACACGGTGGCACATGGCAAGATCCGAAACAACAGATGGCTGACACTATGACGGCAGCAACGTGAACAAGGCATGAGCGGTCAGTGGAAGACAGGGAGGGGAAACAGATGAAGGTGAAATGGAACACAACTAGAGGGGATGGATCCTCGCCTGACTGCCTCCCACCGACGCCACCACCAACCCCACCAGCAACCGAGGGGAAAGGGTGGACTCGTTTGCAGCGGACCTGGCTATATGCATTTGGTCAATCTGAAAAGCACTTGATATAATTGGTAACTTCACTCAAACTAGCCCAATTTTGCATATTTGGCAAGTAAGCAGTGCAGATATAACGTGGGACAAACAGAGAAAAAAGGGTATCATGAACTTAAAAAGGTCCTCTTTGGACCAGGGGGACTCACTTTCCGGTTATATCCAGAAAAACAGCCACATCTTGTCTAGGTTGCGGAACCTGCCATTCTGATTTGATCAACGGAACTCATGCTGGTGGATAGCAGCACATGTGAGGATAAGCTGGAGTCTGGGGTGCCGCGGTGAGAGAGAGGATACGCGGGGGAGCGATGATACGCTGGGGGGGCGGACGAGTAGAGCGAGGCGGGGTGGTGCAGCAGCTAAAGTTGCTCGGAGGGCCTGCCCGGGTGGTGAGGGAGGAGCTCATCAGTAAGCTTTTGCACCCGATGGCCTTCAGACGACTTTTGAGTCGACTCAAAAGGCAGCTAGAGTTGGTCCGAGGGCCTGCCCCCGGGTGGTGAGGGAGGAGCTCATCACTGAGCGCGTGCACCCGATGGCCTTCAGACTCACGTGCCTTGTTGCGTGACAGCCTGCCACACAGCACACACACGCACACGCATGCACACACACGCACGCGCGCACGCGCGCACACGCGCACACACAAACACACACACACGCGCACGCACGCACGCACGCGCGCACCCCCCCCACTCCTCCCTCCCCCTCCCCCTCTCCTCCCCCCCCCCCCCCCCCCCCCCCCCCACACCCACAACCACCCACCATGCAGAAGGCGAGGACGCCCCCCACGGGCATGACGGCGAGAGTCCAGAGGGAGTGAGGCCACGTGTCAAAGTAGGGCAAGGAGGCGAGCGAGGACCACGGCTCGTGCAGCAGCGAGAAGATGCCGCACACAAGCGCCATCACGGGCGCCAGATACTGCAGCAACGTGAGCAGCGGGTTGGTCAGGCCTGTTGGGGTAGAGGGAGGGCGGACTTGCGGTTGGTGGGAGGCAAGGGGAACTAGGAGGACTGGGAAGGCAGGAGGATAGTGGCATGAGGATGGCGTGACCATAGCAAATATGCGAGGAAGGGTGAGAAACCGGAGGATTGTGGCGTGTGGGAGAGCAAGCACAGCACACAGGCACTGTGGAGCTGGGGCTGCACCCGGCAATATGAGGTGAGTGAGGAGGAAGGGGCAACGCGACAGATGCTTACCAAGTGTGTCCCTCTGTCACCAGTAGAAGTGACGACAGCGTGGTGAGATGGTGAGTAGATGTTGTGAACGTAAAGGGTAAATAGGAGACGAAAAGAGTGGGTTAGTCGGTTGATGCAGCAGCACACATAGCAGCACAGCAGCAGCACAGCAGCACACAGTAGCACAGCAGCACACAGCAGCATACACAGCAGCAGTGAGCAGCGGCTTACCTGGAGGAGCACTTGCAGCAGCACCCATCAGAGACCCGCCATGAATGAGGCCAGCATGACGAGGATGAAGCCCAGCAGCTCAAACTCCGTCTCCCCCGCCACTGGGAGCACCACACGCCACTCGAGGGCACACCACACGGAATATCAAAAGCGCGAATTAAGTCAAAGAACTCTGCTCGACGCCCATGTATAAATCAGGCGTTGCGTTGCAATGCTGATTTGGGGGGTGGAGCGCACGGAAATGGTAGTGATACAAGAGGAAAACTGAGGCACGGTAGAAAAAAATGTTGGATGGTCATCGAATTACCCTCCCAGCCCCCTCCCCCTTCCGTTCTCCCTTCCGTTCCCCCTCGTCCCCCCCTCCCCACCCTATGCCGAGCACGCCGACGGAGATGATGAGCCTGGTGCCCACCCATGCTTCTACTCTATGCATCGCAACGTGCTGTGTGTGTGGAGCGCACCCAAGTTTGAGTGCCACACTGGACCTTTTCTGCAACGGATAAGATATCACAAACACTTTTGAGTACACCCACGCTTGAGCAAACCCCCGTAAGCGGATCATTTTGACCAAGGAGACTGCAGTGAATGAAGCGGATAAGATATCGCACAGTGACGACGAGGGAGAATAAGGGCAGGACAGCGTACCATGGAGTAGAAGGTCCGGGTGACGAGCGCGAGGGAGAAGCTGGAGAGGGCAATGTCAAGCGATGTGGCCACTGCCGTGGGCACCACTGCATGCACGGGGCAGAGCACACAGGGCACAGGCCAACACACGTTTAAACAAGTAAGCATCCATTAGAAAGCCGCCTGAACCGAACCAGCCTCAATGGACAAGTTGCAGAACGTGCAAGCACGAGTTCCTGAGCGCGCCCATCCCAATTCTCAATCCCTCCCTCCCACCCACATGGCGAACCTCGCACGAAGTAGTCGCGCCAGGAGATGGGGGAGGCGGGCAGCCACGAGTGGCAGCAGAGGTGACTTTTGAGGCTACTCAAAAGTCAGTTGACTAGAAACACTTTTGAGTCAACTCATCAAGTTACCTCGCACCACGTGACCGATCAGTACCTTGTTGTACCTGCCCACCCACCCACGGCCACCACCGCCCCGCCACCCACCCACCCACCCATCCATTCACCACCGCCCCGCCCGTGCGTACATGCATGGCGATGCGATAGTGCAATGCATAGCGGGAGTGCACAGGTACAGCAGGGGGCGATAAAGGGTTGCTTGCAAGGGGAGATAGGAACGGGCGAAAGGGCCCTTTAGATGGATGGCCAGCCCAGTGAGCAATTTGATCACGCCCTGGGGGAGTGGCAACTACAGGGAGGGTGGCTACACAGGAAAAGCGACATGCTTACAGGGAGCGCGGCATGCTACAGCGCCATGCTTAGAGCAGCATGCTTACAGGGAGCGCGGCATGCTACAGCGCCATGCTTAGAGCAGCATGCTTACAGGGAGCGCGGCATGCTACAGCGCCATGCTTAGAGCAGCATGCTTGCAGGAAGCGCGGCATGCTACAGCGCCATGCTTAGAGCAGCATGCTTACAGGGAGCGCGGCATGCTACAGCGCCATGCTTAGAGCAGCATGCTTACAGGGAGCGCGGCATGCTACAGCGCCATGCTTAGAGCAGCATGCTTACAGGGAGCGCGGCATGCTACAGCGCCATGCTTAGAGCAGCATGCTTACAGGGAGCACGGCATGCTACAGCGCCATGCTTAGAGCAGCATGCTTGCAGGGAGCGCGGCATGCTACAGCGCCATGCTTAGAGCAGCATGCTTACAGGGAGAGCGCCGTGCTGAAGGTGTGCCAGAGCAGCGCGAGCAGCACCACCTTAACCGCCGACCACAGCCACGGCGCGCACCATGGCGACACGCGCAACGCCGATGCTGACCCAGCAACGTCATCTTCCAGGTCCGCTGGCACGATAACATCTTCGCTATTCGCCATAGGCCGACTCGATTCCGTGATCGATTTGACCTGGATGGCATTGCTTGTGGCAAGTCGCGGCGAGAGCAGCGCTTGGCTCTCATTGGTCGACATGATGGCGAACAGGAACAGCTACGACATCAGAAAAATGGGAACGCAGCATTGAGTGGTAAACGCCGACATGCCTGGGATGTATGACGTGCAGATTGTGGTTTCTTCCCACCGCAATAAACGACCAAGGGTATTGCCCAATGTACATCGAAAACAGAGGGGGGTCAAGATCACCGTTAACGCGCGAAAACTGTGCTACAGTGACCTAGCGTGACTTGTCATAAATTTCGATTAGTTGCCCAGTACCCCCAGTTACGACCGAGAAGTATCGAGGCCTAGGTTTACATCAACCGGAATTTACTGTGACATCCCGCGCGTTAACCGTGGTTGGAGTCAATTTACCGTCGCGTCAACAGCAGAGGCGAAAGAACAGGAAAGTGTTGGTTACCAGTGCGTAACACGTAACAATTTCTGTTACTTCTCCTGTATTCAGAAAATTCTTAAATATGATTAAGATGTCTGGATTGTGCCAGCAACCTGGTAACTTGATATGTTACAAAGTTCAAAACCAATATATAATGGAACGTTATATACTGCAGTTGTCAATTAATTAATGATTCCTTTCAATTAAAATAAATAAAGTTATAAATTTCTAAAATTAGCTCATAATTAGAAATCAGTACAAATGAGCGGCTAAAATGCACTACGGGATTTAACCTACACACCTACACACTACCACATCTACACACCAACAGACTACAGAAAAATACGCTCCCATCCTTCAATCAGAATTCGCACCTTCCCAGAACCCAGCACCAAGCCCTTGGGTTCATCATGCTTCAAGAAGGTGGGATTGTTGACCATCGCGGCGTGTAGAGCCGCCACAACAACAGTAGTCTTGGCACGGACCAGGTTACTGTTGGTCTGCGGAACACCACCAAGAGAAGGCTGGCCATTCCCCGGCCTGTAGCTTTCAAGGGGGGCTTCAACCTGCACGGATGCACAAGAAACAGCTGTTAGTGGCTAAGCTTCAGGTAACGTTAAAATACTAAGCAAGAAACTTACCACGACACAAAGGTAAGCCACCATGGGAATCTTCACGTAGACCATAGAGGACGTGACAACAGAGAATGCAGCCAAAGCAGCCTTCTCAAAAGCAATGTTAGCAAAGGGAATTCCTTCGCCATTAACATGCCACGCATATCCAAGTACAGCTGCACAGGAAACAACAAGTAGATTAGTGTACTGTTCAAAAACCATAAATAAAAACACTAATACCGTGCTTCTTACCATGCCTGAATTCTTCCAGCCACTTCTCTTCCGTGCGCTTCTTAGAAGGAATGATCTGCTCCACCGCCAGCAACGGCCACTTGCTCTCATCCACCAACCCACCCGCGCCCCATGCATAGAAACGAACCTTCTTGTGGGTGTTTGAACGTTTCGTTTTGATGACCTTCATCACCAGCTTCTCGAACTCGATTCTGCCGCCAGTCGCGTAGAAATACTCGTCGCGATTCACTCCACACAGCTGGTACTTGGTGATGAGGTGAGGTTGGAAGACTTCAAATGTTGGGAAGAACTCCATGCACTCCACTGGCGCGTCTGTTATCAGCCACGTGAAAGTGTCGAGAGCCTTTACCTGCAGTCGAATAAACGGGTAAACAGCAGAAACATTATTACAAGCAGATGACCATGGTAGGGCCGTCTAAATAACAGCACACGAATATTTAACACACGGACGGTCAAACAGCGAATGTTCCATAAGAACCAAGACTTACCGCAAACTCCTTCTTTTCGAGGCTTGTCTTCACAATCACGTTGCCATTGTTGTCCCTTGTGAGATTTGCCGGGTTGACAATTGGGCCATCTGAAGACATCTCCAACACCCCGCCCGCCTGTTGCGCCTCAAGCTCACCCAGTCGGGAACGCAGGATTTCGCACTCAGAGTTGGCGGCGGCAAGCTTCTGCTGTGCTTCAACTTGCGAAATCTGCAGGATGTCAACGGTTGCTTTAAGATCTTCAACCTGCGCCTGCAGTGCGCGATTCTGTCTGACCCAGTGCGCATTGACAGCTGCAAATAGGAACCAACGACAAGTTCAGTATGAAATAACAATCAAATAAAAACTTAACATCACAGCTGGAAAAATAGAACAGGTCAAATGTTCCAAGAATACACTCACCTTCCGACTGTGTTCCGCGGACGGCACCGTTTTGTTCGACGCCCAGCTGTTGCTGCTGCTGAGCAAGCTGCTGCTGCTGAGCAAGCTGCTGCTGCTGAGCAAGTTGCTGCTGCTGAGCAAGCTGCTGCTGATGCTGTTCGGCACCAGCTTCGTCCTCAGAATCCTCCTCGTCATCCTCTTCCTGCTCCTCGTCCTGCTCCTCGTCCAGCCCCTCGTCCAGCTCCTTATCGAAGGCGGAGCGGTTATCCGTCGAGAAATCCTCAGCCAGCGCGCCGGTGGTTGCGTCAGCGAGAAACTCAAGGTTGTGCTGCTGCTGTTGCTGGGAAGCAACAGGCTGCTGCTGCTGCTGGTGGGAAAAAACAGGCAGCTGCTGCTGCTGCTGCTGCTGGGAAGCAACAGGCTGCTGCTGCTGCTGCTGGGAAGCAACAGGCTGCTACTGCTGCGTTGGGAAAGCAACAGGCTGTTGCTGCTGCGTTGGGAAAGCAACAGGCTGCTGCAGCTGCTGGGAAGCAACAGGCTGCTGCTGCTGCTGCTGGGAAGCAACAGGCTGCTGCTGCTGCTGGGCAGCGACAGGCTGCTGCTGCTGCTGCTGCTGCTGCTGGGTAGTTGTAAAAAGCTGCTGCTGGCGAGTCGCGGGACGAGGACGGTTCGGGAGAGAGCTCGCGAGAAGCTGCTGCTGAGAACCCGCGGGCAGAGGGTTCAGGTTCGTAACGGTCTGCTGCTGCTGCTGGGAACTTGCTGGCAGAGGGAGGTCCGGGAGCCCGTCTGTGACAAGCTCCTCCTCGGTCGACGCGGGAGCAGGTAAGTCAGCTTGACTGCCTGTAGTAGCTCCAGCCTTCCTCCTCCGCTTGCCTTTCTGCCCACCGGACTTAGCGGCGCGGGATTTTTTCTGAGGAACCGGCACACCAGAGAGGGTGTGAACACACTTGGTCTTGCCGACGCTGCTAGCAATCGTCTCACGGCGCTTGAGAGCTTGCTGGTAGAGGGCTCGGTGGTTGTTCACAAGTGCATCTGCTTCAGCTTCAGTCATTTCTGCTGCAAATGGCGATGGAAGCGTGACCCCCTCCAGCCCCTCGCCCACCCCCTGAACCCTTCTGGTCAGCCCATTCCCTGGCCGATAATTTGTTTCTTCTACTTCCCCCATCGTATACGACGATATATCATCGTATGTGAAGATAACGGCTTCATATACCAGGTGTAATGATACTTCGGAAGAATCAAAACTTGCACGAAAATGTTTTGACCGCCTATTCCTCTTCGGGAGTGAAACGTCAGCAAAAAAATCGGGCAAATATGTTGCGACCTCCGATGATTGGTTGGCTTGCGCGAGGTTGGCTGGCCACGCCGCGTGCGGTGCGAGCATCTTGACAGCCCCATGGTCCGGAGCCGTCAGATGTACATGACGGTGCACGTTTCTGCTCAAATGAATGTACGATTAGATCGCAACCGTCAGTGCGAATGCTGTCAGCAGAAATGTGGCTCTCGATCAATCCACACCGTGAAGATGGAATCTTCACTTATACAGCACGACAGGTAATTGGAAGTTTCGAGAGTGGGGCACCACAGCTCAGTACGGAAATGAACCACGCAACCAGGCAACCAGGTTCATTGCACAAAACTTAGCCACCTATGCAAAGCCACGCGGCAACTACCCCGCCTGTGACACCCCTCACCCTATCCAGCACAGAGGCAGCTGTATGAACGTGGCTGGATAATGATGCGTTGGTTCACCTCTGCGGTTTCCTATTAGCCAATGGCAGTCGTGACGTGGCCAGGGAATGGAGTTTCCAACATAGTTATGCTATGTAATTTCCCAACCGGCGCAATGTACACTCGGTAACCTTCGCACGAATAACCAGGTGGTTCTATACTTATTAACATTATTGCCCTGCCCTAACATGATATCTGTATTCTTTTGTTGCACTTTAAGTGTGTGTTTTCAAACTTTTTAAGCAGGTAGTTAATGAACTAACCTTTTAAATTGTACGTGATCCATGTATGCCTAAATATTGGTGTTAGTCAATATACAAGTGTCACTAATACGACACATCAAACTACATTTGTGGAGCGATGTCAAACCACTTCCTACGGCAAGGGAGTAGGAGGTAGTAGAGAACTGTGTGAAGAAATACTGTTAAAAAAACCATCCAACCGAGCGTGCGGTGACATGTTGCGCACAGGTCTGTGCTTGCACAGTTTCGGGCCACCAACTGCACAGACATGCGGCGCGTGCTGTGTACTTGTGCGAATGATCTCAATCCAGTTTCTACCGTCAAACAATATGATGTACTAGCGAACCGTGTGAAGAAATCGAGGTAAAAGTAACACTGAGACGTTGAAACAGTGACACGTTGCGCACAGGCCTACCTTTGCATAGTTGTAGGGTAGTAAACGCACATACGAGTGTCATGTGCTGCGTAGTTGTGCGAATGAGCTCAAACCAGTTCCTATGGCTACGAAATATCATGTACTAGGTAACTTTATAAGAAATATGGGAAAAAAGGCATCCAGACATTGGCGCAATGACATGTTGCGCATAGGCATATCTTCGCGCAGATTCGGGCCAGCAAACGCACAATCATGCGCCACGAGCTGTGTAGTGGTGCTAACCAGATGAAATCAGTTCCTATGGCTAGGTAATAGGATGATGATGAGAATTGTGTGGAGAAATAGTGGAAAAAATAGCATCCAGATGTTGGCGCGGTGACATGTTGCGCAAAGGCACATCCGCACGCACATTCATGCCATCAAACGCACAAACATGCGCCACCAGCTGTGTAGTAGTGCAAACGAGATGAAATCAGATCCTATGGCTAGGTAATAGGATGATGAGGATAACAGTGTGAAGAAATAGTGGAAACAATAGCATCTAGACGTTAGCGCAGTGACATGTTGCGCGCTGGCCTATCCACGCACAGATTCGGGCCAGCAAACGCACAAACATGCTCCATGAGCTGTGTAGTTGTGCTAACGAGATGGAATAACATCCTATGGCTAGGTAATAGGGTGATGATGAGAAGTGTGTGAAGAAATAGTGGAAGATCAAGCGACGACATGTTTGTATAATGATGAGCATGCTGGACAAGTTTGGTGTCATTCACAGCGTCTAGCATTACATCATCATGCGAAACGGTTCACCAGCCACATATCTACAGTCCTATCTAACTGAATCAGATGCATAGCCCGCTTGATGCTATGTATCTCAATCACTTGATACCTAGCTGCAAGTGGGGGCCATTTCAGGCGCTTGCACTTGGTGTCGCTATCTAATGCGGGTTGCACGTCATAGTACTTGATATATGCGTACTCCTTTGTCTGCCCATCCACCTTGCAGTGAAACATCAGTAGGACCTTTGCATACCACTCCTCGTGGCCAGCCTCTGTCTCACCCTTCACGGCCACGTCTGAATACCATGGCCGCCCATGGTGTCTCGGCAGGGCACGCACTCGATGAGGCAATCGGCTGTACTGTGCGTCGGCCGCCGATGGCATGGCCATTTCCCAATGCACCTGACACGAAGACACAATACACATTCTACGTATCACAACCATTCGCATCTAGGGACTGAAGGGACATGGTGATTCGTCACTAGTAGAACTGATGAACATAACACACCTGTATGCTCGCGATGTCCTCCCCCTTGTTGTTGCACCCAGGGGCTGCGTTCAGCGCCGTCCGCAGGTGTTTTAGATCAGGCCCAATTTCCTTCTCGAGCATCGCATCACGATTCGCCTGTGGCGCATTCGGGATGCAGAAAGGTGCCGCCTCCCTGCAGCGGGGAACGTGGAGGAGCCAAGATCGACGCGAGAGCACTCGCACGCCCGTCCTTTGTGCCTGCGGGAGAAATGGGAATACTACCACCACGTTAAACCGTGTTAACGAACGATGATGCAAATGACACGACAAAATAACCACCTGACACGCACCTTGATCATCACTGTGTCGTACGCCTTCTTCGCGCGAAGCATGGGTGCGATTGCTTGCAATCGCAAGCGCTGCTCCTCGCTCTGTACAACCTGTGCGTTCACTGTGCGCTTGTTAGATGCGCGATATGGTGTTTTGATGAACTCTATGTGCAAGTGCTCGTAGAGCTGGGCGGAGTAGTGCTCTGGCAATCCTGCACGACGGATCAAATCTATGAAGTGGCTAATCAGGTGCATTTTGATGAAGTTCCAATCGGATGCCTGCTTGAAATGCGTCGTCAGGCCGTGTATCATCCTGCACAAGAAAGAGTGGATGATTCAGATTTGGCACGGAGGGTGAATGATAAAGACGTGTCAAGCATTGCAACGAACACCACTCACCGGTGCGCCTTGGTCTTCAAGTCGAGCAGACTTTTCTCTGTGTGCTCGCCCGCTAGTGCACACTCCAAATACCACGCAACCAGGTTCATTGCACGTGACGTAGCCACGCGTACAAAGCCACGCGGCAACACTCGAGGGTGACACCCCTAACCCTATCCAGCACAGCGGCGGTTCTATGAACGTGGCTGGGATAGAGCGTTGGTTCGGTGCGGCGATTTCCCATTGGCCACTAAAAGGTGTGTTGTGCCAGCCGTTGGCATACGTGACGTGGCCGCCGAAAGGTGTTTCCAACATAGTAATGCTATGTAATTTGCCTCTGATGGCGTGATGTACATTGTATAACACACGCACGAATATCCTGGTTAAATTATAATTATTCAGAGTAGTGCCCAGAACTTACATAATATTTGTGTACTTTCGTTGCACATTGAGTGTGTTTTTTGATATCATCTTTAGCAATTCGCGAATCATTAGACCTATTGAAATGTAGGTAATCGACTAAATCTAGGTGTTAACCGAAATATATGTGACAGTAACACGACACATCAAGCTGCGAAAATAGTGTCCGGTATAAATTCCTTATGTCAGTGCAAAATATGGCTGGGAAATATAATATTCTAGGGAAATGTGTCAAGAAATATAGGTAAAAACAAGACCCCGACGTTGAGACGGTGACATGTTGCGCACAGGCCTATCCTCGCACAGATTTAGTCCAGCAAACGCATACGGATGCGCCACGTGCTGCGTAGTTGTGCGAACGAGGTCAAACCAGTAACTGTGGCTAGGGAATAGGATGTAGTAGGAATTTGTGTGAATAAACAGTGATTAAAAAAGCATCCGGAGGTTGGCGTAGTAACATGTTGCGCACAGGCCTATCCTTGCACGGATTCAGGCTAGCAAACGCAAAAACAGGTGCCACGTGTTGCGTAGTTGTGCGAACGAGGTCAAACCTGCTTCTATGGCTAGGGAATAGGATGTACTAGGGAGGTGTGTGATGAAATAGGACTAAAAAAGGCATCTAGACGTTGGCGAGCTTACATGTTGCGCACAGGCCTATCCTTGCACAGATTCCAATGTTTTCTCGCATTTTTGGAACATCACAACTCGATTCCAGTTATGGCGAATGACATCTTACCTGACTAGCATGCTCAGTATGTAGTAAATGCTTCAATCATCTACAATACCTTCGTATCATCTACGATGTCATAGTATTCAGGAGTCACCATGCAAAACGGTTTACCAACCAGGAATCCACCTCACCAACGGGCCGAACGAGATGAACGGCTCGTTTGATGCTATGTATCTCAATGACCCGGTAACGCTGCCTTACTGTAGGCCACCTAAGTCTAGTGCACCCCGTCAACTTATCCTTTCTAGGTTGGATCTGGTAGTACTTGATATATGCGTACTCCATGGTCCTCCCATCTACTTTGCAGTGAAATAGTAAAAGAACCTTAGCGTACCACTCTTCCGTCCCATTGTCGGTCTCCCCTTTCACCACCACGTCTGAGTACCATGGACGTCCATGGTGTATTGGCAGGGCACGTACACGATGGGGCAGTCGGCTGTACTGTGCGTCAACTGCTGCTGGCATGGCCAACTCCCAGTGTACCTGCAGACATTACAAAAACAATGGGCTTAGAGGTGATGTCGCCCTAGTGAACGGTATTCTATAGTATAAAAACATTGTACCTGTATGCTCTTGATGTTCGACCCCTGGTTGTTGCACGCAGGGGCAGCGTCAAGGGCCGCTCTTAGGTGTGCCAAATCTGCCCCAATCTCCTTCTCCAGCTTCTCGTCACGCTTCGGTTGTGCGGCGTTCGGGACGCAAAAAGGAGCAGCTGTCCGACCGCGAGGGACGTGTAGGAGCCAAGATCGTCGCGAGAGCACACGCACGCCTGTTTGCTGTGCCTGCAGACGTGAATAGCAATGGACATGCACGTTTGAGATTCAAGTCGTACTTGACATGCACACATGCGAATAGAGGAATTAGCTCACCTTGATCATGGCTGTATCGTACGTCTTCTTCTTGGCAAGCATGGGTGCAATGGACTGCAAACGCAAGCGCTGTACCTCACTCTGTACCACCTGCGCGTTCACACTACGCTTATTCGAGGAGCGATAGGGAGTTTTTATGTATTCGATGTGCAAGTGCTCGTAGAGTTGTGCAGAGTAGTGGTCTGGCAAGCCTGAACGCCGTATCGTATCTATGAAGTGGCTAACGAGATGCATCTTGATGAAGTTCCAGTCCGAAGTCTGCGGGAAATGTGTAGTCAAACCGTAGAGCATCCTGCGCGACAATTGGGTTGTGAACACACCCAGAGTTAGCAGGCTAATTGCGGCATGTCATACTGCGTCGAATAGATAAGCATCTCACCGTTGAGCCTTGGTCTTCAATTCGTGCAGACTGCCATCGGTGTGCTCGCATGCACGTGCGCACTCCAGGTACCACTCGATGTACGAAACCAAAGCTTTGATTTGGTCATCCGTAATGCACCCTTCCGCAATAAAGGGCAGAACCTGCATCACAGAACGATGCTCGAACGCTTGGTAATTGGCACCTTTGGCGAAGTATTCACCCGATGGCAGCCTCATGCATCCACCACGTGTGGACTTTTTAAGTTGTTTTAGACGTTGATCTAGCAACTTCATTTTCCTGGGATAGTTTTCCCTAATGTGCGCTCGAATGCTATCCACAATGTGCTCGAAAAGGCCTAGGTCGGCTTGATGCATGATATCAGGAAGCACCGCAAGATACGGGTTGAGCAAGCTCTCCGCTTCCCACCGCCATCCCCAAAGGTAACTCTGCACGTATATAGCATACGATAGTTAGACGAGGGTTATAACATAATTCAAAATGGAAGGGGAGTTTGTAACATATCTGGACCGGGTGAGTCGAAATGGCGTCATCGCCATCTGGTTGGATCGTCTTTGTCCGCACCGAGAGAACAATGGCGCGTTGCTCCGATGGCGTCCGCGCTTGAATGCGGTCGGTGAACAACGCAAGCTTGTCCTTATGAACCTTGCATAGTGAGCAAGGAAAGTTCGTCGATCCCGACTTCGTGCACGTTACTTTGCACGATTCCGGGTAATCCGTGACATGTGCATACATGGATGGCCACACGTTGATTGTTTTCCCCGCCGAGTCGACCATATCTATACCCGTATGAGAAGCACGCTTCAACCCCGCTAGCACCTCGTTCATGATATAATGGAAGATCAGCGTCCTATCTAGGGAATCATACTCTTCGGGATACTCCGGGAGCAAGGCAAGCAAGACGTGCCCATAGGGCTTCCACCTATCGTCCTTGTCAATATTTCCTAGTGTCAAATACACGGGATGCCCTTTAGCCTTCCCACGCTGATCCATATGGGTCTCATCACTTGCAAGAATGAGAGCAGCGACAACACCTTCCGGGTTGACTTCACGTATATTCTTTTGAAGCTCCTCCCACCATAGCGCGGTTTCGGGTGTTGAGTAAACTCGCATGGTGCCATCTTTAACGACGCAAGCCTCCATGCTCATCTTTGGAGCGAGATTGGGGTCCTTGAGTAGATCCTGAAGAGCGACCAATCCATCGCAGTACCAATATTCGAGCCACGCCTTGTTCCCCGCTCGAACGGTTTTGCGTCTCCACCCGCGATGCTTATCCGGGGCCCGTGATTCGACGTACTGTTGGACATCGCGCGCAGACTTCCATCCTGTCAGCTGAGAGAGCTCAAATGCATGGTGGAAGAGAATGTTAAACAAGGATTTGATTGCCTTTTGGGAGATATTGTTGGCTAGCAACCATTGCGCGAATGCATCCCTGCTGTTGAAGGGTGTTTCTGGCGACGTTGCAGCTAGACCGTTATCAGGCAACACGTTCCCATCACTTCCCTCCTGAATGTCGTCCGGCACGATATAATCATCTGCATCACATGGTAAGCTTGCATTCTCGGAATCACTAGAACTAACGTTGCTAGAAGCACTATCATCCAAATGCACCTCTATCAGAAAATCACCCCCGGTACATGGCACTGGAAAAGCATGTAGATGTTCGTGAAGAGGGGTTGACATGGGCACGGCTGAAGTCGAAGCAACAGCAGTGGGAATAGGATTGGGTGCTACGGTGGGTATGCGAGGGCGTTTATGCAACCCAGGGTTACTTGTGAAGTACGGCGTAGGTGTCATTGCACGCTTTGCAGGGCAGCTTGAGCTACGCATGTGACTCTCCATGCCCTTTTGGGTCAAGAAGGTGTTGACCTTGCAGGCAGGGCAGCGGTAGCTCATCTGAATGCATGGGGAAGAGAGGGAGTGAATGGGGCAGAGCAGTGAGTGAATGGGCCAGAGAGGGATTGAATGGGGCAGAGCGTGAGTGAATGGGGCAGAGAGGGAGTGAATGGGGCAGAGCGTGAGTGAATGGGGCAGAGAGGGAGTGAATGGGGCAGAGCGTGAGTGAATGGGGCAGAGAGGGAGTGAATGGGGCAGAGCGTGAGTGAATGGGGCAGAGAGGGAGTGAACGTGGCAAAGGAGGAGGGAATTTGGCAAGAGAGGGACTGACTGGGGCAGACAGGGAGTGAATGGGGCAACGAGGGAGTGAATGGGGCAGAGCGAGAGTGAATGGGGCAGAGAGGGAGTGAATGGGGCAGAGCGTGAGTGAATGGGGCAGAGAGGGAGTGAACGTGGCAAAGGAGGAGGGAATTTGGCAAGAGAGGGACTGACTGGGGCAGACAGGGAGTGAATGGGGCAACGAGGGAGTGAATGGGGCAGAGCGAGAGTGAATGGGGTAGAGAGGGAGTGAATGGGACAGAGCGTGAGTGAATGGGGCAGAGAGGGAGTGAGACGGGCAGAGTGGGAGTGAATGGGACAGAGAGGGCGTGCATGGGGCAAGATAGGAAATTAGGAGAGGTGGAGGGGGGGGGGTTGTTGTTTTGAGATACCTTGACGAATTACACAGGGAACAGAACAACTCTTCGCTCCACGACAAGTGTTCGGTGTGTCACCACTGCTCCAACAGGCAGCCCTCTCATACGGTGAACTGGCCAGGGAGATGAGGGAAAAGGGTGTGACAGAGCAAGTGGGGCCGTCAGAGAGCCAGAGCGGCAATGAGCGGGGATGCGAGAGTGGCAGAGAGAGGTAGCGTGAGAGTGGCAGGGAGAGAGAGAGAGAGAGAGAGAGAGAGAGAGAGAGAGAGAGAGAGAGAGAGAGAGAGAGAGAGAGAGAGAGAGAGAGAGAGAGAGAGTATGCGGCAGAGCGCGAGAGAGAATGCGGCAGGGCGAGAGAGAGAATGCGGCAGAGCGAGAGAGAGAGAATGCGGCAGAGCCAGAGAGAGAATGCGGCAGGGCGTGAGAGAGAATGCGGCAGAGCGCGCGCGCGTGCGCACGAGAGAGAGAGAGAGAGAGAGAGAGAGAGAGAGAGAGAGAGAGAGAGAGAGAGAGAGAGAGAGAGAGAGAGAGAGAGACAGAGAGAGAGAGAGAGAGAGAATGCGGAAGAGCAAGAGTGAGAGAGAATGCGGAAGAGCGAGAGTGAGCGAATGCGGCAGAGCCAGAGAGAGAATGCGGCAGGGCGTGAGAGAGAATGCGGCAGAGCGCGCGCGCGTGCGCACGAGAGAGAGAGAGAGAGAGAGAGAGAGAGAGAGAGAGAGAGAGAGAGAGAGAGAGAGAGAGAGAGAGAGAGAGAGAGAGAATGCGGAAGAGCAAGAGTGAGAGAGAATGCGGAAGAGCGAGAGTGAGCGAATGCGGCAGAGCGAGAGAGAGAGAATGCGGCAGAGCGTGAGAGAGAATGCGGCAGAGCGCGCGCGCGTGCGCACAAGAGAGAGAGAGAGAGAGAGAGAGAGAGAGAGAGAGAGAGAGAGAGAGAGAGAGAGAGAGAGAGAGAGAGAATGCGGCAGAGCAAGAGTGAGAGAGAATGCGGAAGAGCGAGAGTGAGCGAATGCGGCAGAGCGAGAGAGAGAGAATGCGGCAGGGCGTGAGAGAGAATGCGGCAGAGCGCGCGCGCGCGCGCACGAGAGAGAGAGAGAGAGAATGCGGCAGGGCGAGAGAGAGAATGCGGCAGGGCGTGAGAGAGAGAATGCGGCAGAGCGAGAGAGAGAGAATGCGGAAGAGCGAGAGTGAGCGAATGCGGCAGGGCGAGAGAGAGAGAATGCGGCAGAGCAAGAGTGAGAGAGAATGCGGAAGAGCGAGAGTGAGCGAATGCGGCAGAGCCATAGAGAGAATGCGGCAGGGTGTGAGAGAGAATGCGGCAGAGCAAGAGTGAGAGAGAATGCGGAAGAGTGAGAGTGAGCGAATGCGGCATAGCGAGAGAGAGAGAATGCGGCAGGGCGTGAGAGAGAATGCGGCAGAGCGCGCGCGCGTGCGCACGAGAGAGAGAGAGAGAGAGAGAGAGAGAGAGAGAGAGAGAGAGAGAGAGAGAGAGAGAGAGAGAGAGAGAGAGAGAGAGAGAGAGAGAGAGAGAGAGAGAGAGAATGCGGCAGAGCAAGAGTGAGAGAGAATGCGGAAGAGCGAGAGTGAGCAAATGCGGCAGAGCGAGAGAGAGAGAATGCGGCAGGGCGTGAGAGAGAATGCGGCAGAGCGCGCGCGCGCGCACGAGAGAGAGAGAATGCGGCAGGGCGAGAGAGAGAATGCGGCAGGGCGAGAGAGAGAATGCGGCAAAGCGAGAGAGAGAGAATGCGGAAGAGCGAGAGTGAGCGAATGCGGCAGGGCGAGAGAGAGAGAATGCGGTAAAGAACATACGCTTCCTTATGCTATGTTCGTTCACGCCACGTCAATGTATAACGCAGATTTCCTGATGCAGTTGCCGGCATCTACAACTCAGGATTGACACGGCGTGAGCACTATGTGGGGCGGTAGGCTCGTGAAAGGGAGGGAGGTAAAATTGCCGTCAGAGAGCTCACCTTTTCGCGTCGTGGACACGTATGTGCCCTCTCTCTGGTCCTTTCGCTACCGCGTCACGTCGCTTGTTGCGCCGTTGCTTCAGCTGCTGCAGATTCGTCGCAGCTTAGCGCGACGCGGCTGCTAAGGCGACAAACGGTCGTTGCGTTATCTCTACAATGGAAGCCAGATTCACGTTTCTGAACACAGAGTTCCCTAGATGTCGAGTGAATTATGGAGTGAATCTCAGGGATGGGTGGAGTGTGGAGGGAGGAGTGATGGAGTCGCGCACGAACAGGGCTCTCTTTGACAGCGCGGTATAATGAGGATCAAAGCGGTGACTTGAGGTACAATGTTTTTATTATACGGTGTACAGCGTTCCTGCACGATTCATACGAGATGCACCAATAATTGTGGACCTGAAATGCGTTCTGTTGGCGATTTGATGAACCGTGAGATGCGGGGCATTTTGGCAGAGAATTATATGTTTAGAAACAAACAACAAAAATTGCTTTTCAATAACTAGCTTCGATACAAGACAGTGAACATGTATATGTTAAAACAACCAAACCACATATAAAACCAGTAACTACATCTACAATATCACCATAACAGTACTCAAAATACAGTACACATTCACAACAATAGTTTTTACACGATGGAGAAATGTAATCAAAACATTAGTATAATTGTACAAGTCATTATATAATAATAACATGTTGGAAACTGTGTACAAAAATTATTAATGTTAAGAACACATTATTAAACTCTTGTGGTAACAAAAAAAAGTTAGCAAAAACGAACATCCAAACAAAAACAAAGCACATAGTAAAACTGTTCCATAAATGGCATGACTGCAAATTGGTTACATAAAGAGTTACCGATACAAGGATGACGTGGCAACAATCAACCAACATTTTCTCGCAAAGGAGAAATTGCGTGCGTTGTGTCGGTTGTCAACAAGCCCCACACATCTCCCGATCTATCGCCATATTTGTCTGAGACAGCGGACCAATGAAAACGCTCGTAAGCACCCAAGCAGAAACGCCACGTAAACCATGGTTTGTGGTCCACCTGTACAGTGCGCGACTGTTAATAGAGGTAAATGGTGATCGACGGGGGTGGGGAGAAAACGAGTAGAAAGGCTTTCGACAATCTGCAGGTATAAACCCAGCACATCCGATGGTAAAGCTGCCGAGAAGCAGGGTAGTGCGAATTTCACCTCATCAATCATCGAAAATGACCGGCCTCCCAACTCAAAAAAGGACCCCTCGCCCTCCCCCCCCAATACTCGGCAGTTTCACATTTTTTCCGATGGATGGTCAACCCTAAACTCCGCACTAATGAATTCTCGTGGCAGGGTGGCGTGGAGATTCGATCATAGCTCTCAACGCGAAGAGATGGACGAACGCGACTGAGTGTCGCACACAGGGTCGCCAGATCGCAAAATGCTGCGCTTGGAGCTTTTTTCCAGATAGCGCGTTTTGAGACGTCTCTAAACTAGATTGCTGCGCTTGGAGCTTTCTTTCAGAGCGAGATCGACCCGAGCAGCGAGCGACTGCACGCGCTAGTCGCTCAAAATGCGGCGCCACTCTGTAGGACGCCGTGACGGAAGCAGGGAAGCGCCAGATACGCCCAAAAAAAAAAATCAGCATTCGGTATCAGTGCGCTTGTGATCAGCTTGTGAAACCGGATACCACAAGCGCTTGTGATAACTAGAAACGCCACGCGACTCGTAGATTTTGCGGAAACTAAGATGGTGGGAGGAGCATGTGAGCATATGTGTGTGCCCGACATTGCAAGAGCCCACTTGAACCTATTCTACGACAGTAGTTCAGCTTGCATGGTTTGCCTAGTTGACGCTTGGTTACCACTCGCCTCATTCAACGAAGAAGCACGAAGTTGCAAAAGTACAGCTAGTGGGGAATACAAACAAATTTTGGTCGACAAACCAACAAAGGAATACGAACCATGTTTAGGATGGCAACAGCTGACTCACAAGCTCAGGCATCGAATTTGGAGTCGCGTCCCAAATTCGTACCTTGATTACGGCCGTGCTTGGGCGAAATGAGAACGACGCAGGGCCTGCTTGTTTGGCAGTTCACTTCGCGGAACTAATAGGTGTGCGAGATAAAATTTCATCTCGCAAAACACGGGTGGTAACATACAAATGGCAATCGGCTGTGGATTCTGAAATGGAACGGTTGTGTCGAACTCGAAATTCGAGTACTGGGTCATAATCTGACCTCCCGTATGACTCCTTCCTACTACACCTGATGCCTATTTCAGTTCCCTTTCTCCATCTTTCCCTGTGCTCCTCTCTCGTGCACGCGCTCCCCATGGGGAGAATGGGACTGTATTTGGGTAGGCTAGCGTGTCTTGTCTGGGAAACTCGAAGAACTTATTCGAGGTCAAGAATATCTTAGTTTTGTCGTGGGCTAGTAACGCGCGGGCCGTTGGCTGTGAATGTCGACCACTGGGCGTATGGAGTGGCAGTGGGCGTGTTTAGAGTGGGCGGTTGAGTGAGCATTAGGGTGTACAGCTATGTCTAGCCACCATAATCTGAGTCGTGACGCATACTAGGCGTGCATTGCAAGAGCGCTATCTCCCATCGCAAGAGAAGGCGACTCGAATCGCCTCTACGAACCACTACGACTCGCAGCGGCGCCATTCCCTTTGCGACTCGTACTATACTCCGCGCATCCTGTGCTCTCGTCACTATTTTTTGGTCCGCTCGCTCCGTCGCAACACTTTCGAATTTGCCGCGTCGCGCCATCACGCGCCACGCGCTGCAGATCGACGTACCGCGCCGCCGCTGGGACACTTCGAGCCGCGGAAACGATAGTCTAAGAAACCCTAGTTAGAGGTAAGCCTCCCCATCCATTCCCCAGTCAGACCTTCGCTTTCAAATCTTTGCAGGCCTGAGGCTCACAACTCATGGTCTAGGCGCTTATAGTCTGTCAGAGGGGGTCGATGCGCAACTGTTGGTTACACACGGAGTTGCTTACGGATTCTGCACACTGCCAAGAGACTAGCAGAGCCCCTTGACGCATTCGTTGCCCTTATTAGCATTGCTGCTTTCGCCCTGGTTCACGGAGTCACGCTGTCACTCACCCAGGCAATGACCGTCCAAGCATGTGACCCAGCTCTCTCACTGACCTGGGCTCTCGTTGACCTGGGCTCTCGTTGACCCGGGCTCTCATTGACCTAGGCTCTCGTTGACCTAGGCTCTCGTTGACCTGGGCTCTCATTGACCTAGGCTCTCGTTGACCTAGGCTCTCGTTGACCTAGGCTCTCACTGACCTGGGCTCTCGTTGACCTGGGCTCTTGTTGACCTGGGCTCTCATTGACCTGGGCTCTCATTGACCTGGGCTCTCATTGACCTGGGCTCACATTGACCTGGGCTCTCATTGACCTGGGCTCTCATTGACCTGGGCTCTCATAGACCTGGGCTCTCATTGACCTGGGCTCTCATTGACCTGGGCTCTCGTTGACCTGGCCTGGGCTCTCGTTGACCTGGACTCTCGTTGACCTGGGCTCTCATTGACCTGGGCTCTCATTGACCTGGGCTCTCGTTGACCTGGGCTCTCATTGACATGGGCTCTCATTGACCTGGGCTCTCATTGACCTGGGCTCTCATTGACCTGGGCTCTCATTGACCTAGGGCTCTCGTTGACCTGGGCTCTCGTTGACCTGGACTCTCGTTGACCTGGGCTCTCATTGACCTGGGCTCTCATTGACCTGGGCTCTCATTGACCTGGGCTCTCATTGACCTGGGCTCTCATTGACCTGGGCTCTCATTGACCTGGGCTCTCGTTGACCTGGGCTCTCGTTGACCTGGACTCTCGTTGACCTGGGCTCTCGTTGACCTGGGCTCTCATTGACCTGGGCTCTCGTTGACCTGGGCTCTCATTGACCTGGGCTCTCATTGACCTGGGCTCTCGTTGACCTGGGCTCTCATTGACCTGGGCTCTCATTGACCTGGGCTCTCATTGACCTGGGCTCTCGTTGACCTGGACTCTCATTGACCTGGGCTCTCATTGACCTGGGCTCTCAGTTGACCTGGACTCTCGTTGACCTGGGCTCTCATTGACCTGGGCTCTCATTGACCTGGGCTCTCATTGACCTGGGCTCTCATTGACCTGGGCTCTCGTTGACCTGGGCTCTCGTTGACCTGGACTCTCGTTGACCTGGGCTCTCATTGACCTGGGCTCTCATTGACCTGGGCTCTCGTTGACCTGGGCTCTCATTGACATGGGCTCTCATTGACCTGGGCTCTCATTGACCTGGGCTCTCATTGACCTGGGCTCTCATTGACCTGGGCTCTCGTTGACCTGGGCTCTCGTTGACCTGGACTCTCGTTGACCTGGGCTCTCATTGACCTGGGCTCTCATTGACCTGGGCTCTCATTGACCTGGGCTCTCATTGACCTGGGCTCTCATTGACCTGGGCTCTCATGAACCTGGGCTCTCATTGACCTGGAATCTCATTGACCTGGGCTCTCGTTGACCTGGGCTCTCGTTGACCTGGGCTCTCATTGACCTGGGCTCTCGTTGACCTGGGCTCTCATTGACCTGGGCTCTCATTGACCTGGGCTCTCATTGACCTGGGCTCTCATTGACCTGGGCTCTCATTGACCTGGGCTCTCATTGACCTGGGCTCTCATTGACCCGGGCTCGGACTGACCTGGGCTTTATTTTAGGCTCTCATCGTTTCCCTGGTGTGTTTCGTTGCCCTGGTTCAGACACTCACGCTGTCACTACGCAGTCAAGAATTACCACGCTATGAAATGGATCTCTTAGCGATGCTAACATAGTAGAAACAGCCTAAAGCTAATCGCTAGGTGCCCAAGTTAGAAAC